CTGATGCTCAACTACTCATGTCTGATGCTCAACTACTCATGTCTGATGCTCAACTACTCATGTCTGATGCTCAACTACTCATGTCTGATGCTCAACTACTCATGTCTGATGCTCAACTACTCCCGTCTGATGTTCAACTACTCCTGTCTGATGCTACTCCCATCTGATGCTCAACTACTCCTGTCTGATGCTACTCATGTCTGATGCTCAACTACTCCCGTCTGATGCTACTCATGTCTGATGCTCAACTACTCCCGTCTGATCCATTCATCTATTTAACTATTTAAAAGGCTGTGTCTCAATTCAGGTAACAGCAGGTGTGAGGAAAATAAGGAGGAAATGAGGAACAGGAAATGGACATGTCATGTAAGATTATGACTTTTTTTCTCGTAATATTATGACTATGTATTTTCAGATGCCTAGTAAACTGCATCAAAGCACACGCGCAGCCTCCTCCCGAAAGGGATGGAACAGAAGCAGAAGGTGGTTCTTAAAGAGACAGAGGCCAATTTCAAGGCTTTTAAAAGAGGAAGTGATGAGAAGATGAGTTTATTTTCTATTTAAACATAAAAACAGCATTATAATAACAACTAAAGGTGACATAGATACTTTATTATGGTATAGTATTTAAATATATGTCTGAGAAACACATAATATTGCCCCAATTAATTTCTGCAGTTTTTCATCAAAAGAAACAAACAAAAGTAGGTTTTCTGACGGACAGAAACACAACATCACACTGTTCCACTGTGTTAAAGTGACACCAGATTATTCCATAACTCGTGAAAAGCGAAAACCCCGGATTATTTTGTTTTTGGAAACAAATGATAATGTGCAACATAAAAAAACCACGTAGCGCACCGTGACCTTCACAACAAATATAGGCTGGGATTCAGCACAGCCTGCCCCAGTTAGGAACATCTCTCCTGCAGACTGCACTCCCTGAGGTTCTTTAGGACGGTTATAACCAGAACCGGCCCCGACCCACTTAAATCAGAACACACCAGCGCACACACACAAAAACAGGGCCACATCCACAGAGAGGCCTGATGGCTGCTGGGAGAGCAGGTAGTCCCATGTCTCCTCCTCTCTCACCAACAAATCAGGACGAGGCTGAAYCAGAAACACAGGAAAAGCTCAAAACATGGTTTAATACGAATACATATGATTTACTTACAATATGAAATATTTAAACTCCTTTTTAATATTTTTTTTACTGAGTTAACAGAAACATGAGCTTTAAAAGTAATGCAAGCTGTGCTTCAGTTCATTTAGATGACTTTTAAAAAGGTAAACTTGCTAAAGTAATCGGGAGGTTTCATTAACATTAACAGGAGTCCCAGTTAAACGAAGCACAATCAAAAATATTTTCTTTTAACAACTTTTAAACATGAAACTTCACCTCTTAAACCTGATTTAAAGAGTCGTGGAAGCAGGAGGTTCGCGCTTTGACAGACAGTTATTAAAACTAATGTCAAATTCTATTTGTATTTCACATTTTAACCAGATTTAAATGAGGTTTTGTTACTGATTTACTAATATATGCTACAAAAAATGACCGTTCTTGCTTGTGTTTCTTTTTTTTTTATCTTTGTAATGTTTTGTAATACTCATACACATTTTAGATACTCATGTCAAGGGTTTCACATTTAGTTGAGTTCACTTTTAAAGACATTATTAAAAGTTTCGATGTGTCCTAATCTGTAGTTAGCATTAGCTAGCTAATTAGCTTTCATGCTAAAACATTCCTGAGTGTCCCAATCAATCGGATACGCACCTGAACGCGTCTTCTCGTCTTTTCCTTGGACAGAAGGAGGAATCCGGGACCCCTGTGCGAAYTTATATTCCTGTAAACTTTCCTGCCGACCTGTCAAATGAGTTATCTACCTGTGAAGTTTGTCAAACATCGGCGGTCCGGTCGCTCCTGTCCTTCCTCAACTGTTATCCTTGCCGTGAACTGTCTCGCCTTGCCCAGACAACTTCAACCACTTCAACCGAAGATCGTCTACTAGAACGATGTGTCACCCTGAATAGTTTTATTTAAGAAGCAAAAGATTTACTTCACGGTCATTTGAGAACGGAAATGTGTAGTAGTAAACATAATAAACTTTTCGCATCTATCACAACACAACGAGTGTTGTTGTCTACCCGACTGTGATTTTTAAGCTCAGTGAAGTATTTGAGGCGGAAGTAACTCCAGAGTGGGAACTCTTCGTCACGAGTGTAGCTGGAGCCCTCAGGTGTTCAAGAGGCGAACGGGGAGTCAGTGCCGACTGGCGGCAGAAATGCGCAAAACTTGTCAGTGGAGTGTTTATAT